AGTTGCAAAAGTAATAAAAAGTGAGGACTTCTCCCAAAAGGTGAGAAGTGGGAAATGATTATAGATGGAAGTTGTCTTGATTTGTATTCTAGTTGATTTGAGTTTGTAAGTCCGTAGGGGTGTTTGAACGCCTAATGCCCTAAAGCCGTCTGGTTTGGGAGTCATTGACCTAACATTCGACCTCATGAATCGCTAGAAAGCTTAAGAGATCAACGCATTGCACAATGCTTCCATCTTTGATTCTAAAAAAAAAAAAAAAAAAAAAAAAATTGAGTGAAAAGAACAAGCATACCTAGATGAATAAAGCTTTAATAAAATGTCCAGTTTTTGTCTTGATGATCGGTACTAGATTTGTGTGCTAGTTTGAGGGTAAGGATGTGATTAATTCTTTAGTTGGCTAAGATAGCAACACATTTGATGCCGGTCCACTCAAAAAGGATTCTAGAGTTGTTTTGATTTGCATGATCATTTTCTTGGTGTGTGGAGGACCATACTTGTTTGCTTGATGTTGAGATTTTGGGAGATTGCTTAGAAATGTTTGAAAAATTGCATACTTGAGGTAGTTTTCTCCCAATGCTTGTTTGCAATATTGGTGTCTCTTTTGTGAGAATGAGCTTAATGTTTGTGGGTATCATTTCTGGAAACCCTCACAAGACTTCACTCGTCCACTAGGCGTAACTTAGGGGTTTAAAAGGCTTGTTGCATATGCTAAGTGCAATCGTGTTCCCTACGAAAGTGGCGTTATCCATTTATTGCTTTCTAGTTTATAGTTGTTTAGTTATTCATTTCATTCCTTTACTTTCTAGTTCATTGCTAGGGACTAGCAATATTTAAGTTTGGGGGTGTGATAAGCGCTGAAAAATGCGTATTTAAACCCCTTAAGCTTAGGCATTCTAGTACATTTATTTATCTTACTTTACCGTTTTAGATTGATTTCGTGTTATTTCTATTTTCAAGCACTTATCCCGAAAATAAGCTAACTCAGCCAAATAAGAGTAGAAATGAAGCAATTCTGGGATGAATCAAAGAAATGAGCCAAGTGGAAGCAAAAAGAAGAAAAAGGTGGAAATCAACATCTTCGATCGATCCAACATGATCGATCTCAGAACTTCAAGATGGATCAGAGCCATGATGACATTTTTAGATATCTCAAAAGTTCGATCGATCCAACATCATTCTTCGATCGATCGAACTACCTTGTCCTTATCCAAATGATTGATCTTATTCAGTTGTACCACCCTACCAACCACTTTTGTCCTTTTCCCAAAAATATCTTTGAAATATCTCAGATTTGTTTTTATCCAAAAAACGCCGCCATTAAGGATCGATTCAACTTCAGTTTGATAGATCTCAGCCATGTTTAATCAATCCAAGTCCAAGGTTCGATTGATCGAACTTCCTCCAGTGCGAAAAAGTTAAATTTCCAGCTCATTGAAAGCTGTCCTTATCCAATCATTAGGGAATATTTTGTGCACGACCCCAGCTCATTTTGTGTGTCACTTAACCTACCTATTGAGGAAGGATCCTTAGCATACCAAGAATCAATCTAGAGGCTATTCTTAGGGAGGAAGAAAGGAGGAGGAGGCTAGAGACACAAGCTTGGGAGCTTTTCATCAACCAAGGAGTATATTTCTTCCATGGAGTTTGCCCTTGAGGGTTGGAGAAGCACTACCATGAGTGGCTAGACATCCTCTTGGGGCTAGAGTTAGCCCCAAGCATGCTTTCTACATCTTAATTTTGTGTATTATTGAGGGATTAGTGTTGTAATACATGTTTTGGCACTTATATATATATAGATCTTGTTTATTCAATGATTTATGTGGTTTAATGTTTCCAATTGATCATTTCATTCTATCCATAAGTCTATGTATGCTAGAATAGATGTTCATGTATTTGTCTCTATTTCTTGTGTTCTTGATGCATGTCTATGTGTATTAATGTCATAGATCTAGAGATTGTCAAAACATAGTGCTTAATAGAATGCTCTTGTAATTTTCTTGATGGTTCATGCTCATTTCTTAATGGATTGTGCCTTTCCCTTAGCTTAATTAGTTTAATTTCATGTCATTAGCTTAATTGTAGTGTAGTGGTAATATAGTTGTTAGATGGGAGGACAATCCATGCTTGTTGTTTGATGTTCCATACTTTTGAATGCAAGTAGCATACGTCTCTAACCTTGTGGTGTATTTGGCTTGTGAGCTTAATGAAAGGATTAATGACTTGTTAGATATATTGTGCTTTTCACATGCTATTTAGACAAATATATACTTAATTGTTAGATATATTGTGTTTTTCACATGTTGCTTAGACAATATATACTTAATTGGTCACCCTTGCTAATTGAATCAACCAAACACACACACACACATCAATATTGCAATACACATTTCCCTCATTAGTCACTTGTTAAGGGTGTAGAAAAGTATTGTTGTGTGGTGACTTCTAAACCCCAAGATCTCTCTCTCTCTTACTTACTATTTATTGCATTCAATTATTTAGTTTAATTTGCTCTCTAGTTTAATCAACCAACCAACTATTTGTTTGATCATTCGACCTACTAACCCTAATTGTGATTTCACAACCTAATTCGACTCCAATCCCTTGGGACGATCCCTACTCACCCTAACTATATTTTTAGTGAAGGTAGTAGTGGCTTTTATAAATGTAAAACTTGGCCCTCACCTTAATGCACACTTTCTAAGCTTGTGGTAGGACGGCGGCAAACCCACCACCACCATTCTCATCAACTTGTGGCTTCTTTTAGACTATTTTCTAAGTATAATTACACTTGGATCTTCAACATTGCTCGGTCCCATGAAATGTCATCTTTTAAAGCTCAGAATCACTGGTCTTGACTGATTTACAATTAAAACCCTGAAATAAATAAAAACAATAAACAATGTAAAATCTCAAATAAGTTACTATTAAGATAATAAAACATGCAAGTAAAGGGGTTAAAATGTATAACATTCAGCGCCTAACACACTCCCAAACTTACATATTGCTTGTCCCATAGTAATAAAACTAAATAAAACATAAATGCCGCTTTCGTGGGAATCACGATTGCATTTAGCGTATGCAACAAACCTTTTAAACTCCTAGGTTACCCCTAGTAGACGAGTGAAGTCTCGGGAGAGTTTCCAGAGATGATACCCACAAACATACAACACAATTCAATCATTTGGCAATCAACTTATTCTTATATCAAGGCAATAATCAAGGGGAAGACTACACAAAAGTACTTTAAAAATTATCAACTGATAATACTTTTTTGTCCCTATTTTCATACTTCATCCCATTGTTTCCCACACACCTATATAATAAGAACAATAGCAAAATCAATCCCCAATGTTGTGAAATTAGTGAACTAGCAAATCACCTATGTAGTAATGTATTTTCAATTGAACTCAACTTCTATGACTTCAATTCCTCAAATCCCTACTCAAGTTATTTTCTATGGCACAATATTATTTATTTCTTTTTTATTTTATTTTATCCTTATCCCGACTTCTTCATGCGAACACTCTATGCATGTGAGACATGAGCCTCGATTACTCCATGAATGGGTTACGAATTTTTTTTTTTTTTTTTTTTATATCTATGTCATAGTAATAACCTTCAAAGTTCACCAATTTATATCCATCTATAGTCATCAGAATTCAACCAATAATATAAATACCCATAGATAAAATTCTAGTATGCATGTGAAATCCATCAGGGACCGACAATTACTAAAATTCCTATCATACTAGATAATGGAACCCACATAAAATAAAACACGAAAATTAGGGATTCAAAACGATCTCAGAAAAGAATTTTAAAAAGTACTCAAGTGTCTTAATCCCCTAACAATTCTCAAATACTTGAATTAAAGTCAATATGCTAAACAATTCAATATGTCAATATGTCAAAACAATTCTCAAATACTTAAATTAAAGTATTTAAGTAGCGCCCTCTGAATTACTTCCGCGCCAGGTCCTATGGGCTTTGAGTAGATACCAGCAGTCAAAATCCGTGAAATAATGTCGTGATCTTAATGCGACAGACTGGCCAGGCCTGAACTCTATTTTTGATGTTAGGGTCAATGTCTACGTATTTGGAGTTGTCACCTATCATTAAGTTTTAGTGTGCTGTTAGGTCACCAGATTATGCTAGAATGTGAGATGTTTGAACATTTGAAATTGTAAATCCTATAATTCGACTCTCGACTTATTTGTTTGAACCAGATAAACAAATTCGGTAGTTTGTTTACGTTTGGAAAATATCTAATTTGTTATTGTGTCACATTACCATAGCATGAGGAGAGACTTCCTCCTGCTCTGTTAGAGAAATAAATGAGATAGAAAGTAGTATACATAATAATTGAACTAAATTGACATTGATTATGTATAAGACAAGGTTTGAATACTATTTATTTAGAAAAACAAGAGTGAGCCAAAGGTAAAGAGTGTAAGATAATATCATAAGAGAGTATCACAGACCAATTTGCAAACAATACTAATCTAGTAATTAAAGTATCTCAATACAATAAGTTAATATAAATACATATATATATATATAATGGAAGTAAGTTGAAAAAAAGAAGAAGACACTGTTAGAGAACTAATATTACAAGGAATTTAGAATACTGATTCAAAATGCGAAAGGTTGATTCTTCAACTTTCTTAGTATATCTTTTGTAGGATCATCCAAGACTCATCTACTCACCAATAAATAAGTCATTCTTACTACCGCTGACATTGTCAAATAAAAAATATATAAATAATTTATAATTATAAAATTAGAAAAGTAATAAATAAAAACAATAATTTTTTTTTTTGGTAATAAATTTAGTCACATTTCCTTATTTGTCACTTTTCTAATTTTGTAATTACAAGCTATTTATGCATTTTTTATTGGACCACATCAACGACGGTCAGTAGAGATAACCAACTCACTTGTGAATAGACAAGTCTTGTCCCCACCGGTACCTTATAATGTTCGACATACACCACTCATTCGAAATTTGATTAGATCTTGGAACTGTAGATACCTTATTTCGATTTTTTTTTTTCCTAAATGAAATGATTGTATTAAAAGATCAGGCAATAAGAGAGGGCATACCCTCTCAATACAAAACAGAAGACACAGAGAAACACCACTTCCAGTAACAAAGGAAGTGGAAGTAGGCAACTACAGCCACGGTGGTATACATAATATTACAAAATGAACCTCAATTCTTGCAACTAAAAGTTTGAAATATCCAGAACTTCCCCCCAGGCCGATTTTGCAATGTCTTCAGCAGCCCTAGGGTTGTTCCCGTGCAGACGAGCATTTCACTCAGTCCAGATACTCCGGAGAAGAGTTACAACTAGCCTTCTAGCAATTCTGTGCTGACGAGACTGACTGTTAAAAGTAACAATAGAACAGGTGATCATTGCAATCCTCACCTCCAAAACAAAGATGAAAAATCAAAGTAAGAGTAAGGCCTCTCTTCTGCAAGTTGAAAAAGGACAGGTTCTTGTTCCAGAAAATAATGCAAGCAGTAACAGATTTCCTCCGTCTGCAACCACACCAGCTCAAGGAAGACCAGGAAACAGCAGGAAGAGAAGTTCTCCAACACTGCCATTCTGTCTTTACCTGAATGAATAGGCAACAGAAAGAAGGAAATTAAAGAAGATAAAGTTCAAATCCTCCATCTGCCATTATCAAGAAGGTCACTAACAGCAGCATTTTTTTGGAAGATTTAAGGATCTGTAAAGACTATGAGAGCACGTTTGCAATAAAGTTTGTCCATCACGCCAAGTGTCTAAGAATAATCTGATAGGAGAGATGCTGACGACGAAATGGTCTGAACTCACAGCATATATTTCCAATACCTCGAACAGTTAGGATGCCTCCTCTGAAACCAGGCCACCCACAGACAATCTTTTGAATTGTCCGTAATCCAAAAACCACCTTCCAGTTCAAACAGTGACTTTTCCTGGAACCATCAGTATCTTTCAGCTTCCAAACCAGAGAGGATGGAAGTTTAAATGCAGACCACCAGAGGTAAGTGAAAGAGTACAACACTGTTTTAATAAGTTCAAGTCTGCCAGCTCTAGAATGATTAAGCCCATTCTAAGCACTCAATCTGGACTTGATTTTATCAAGCAAAGGGCTACAATGATGCTTTTTGATACACTAGTAAGAGGCAATCCTGGTTGAAAAAATTAAAAAACTTTTTCTCAATTTTAAGGTTTTGTGATCATGCCAATTTTTAAAAATAGGTTAAATCCTACGAATTCTCAAAATCGCCTTTTTGTTTCATTTTAAATTGGGATCCCTGAATAAACCCTGAGAAACTTCCAAAACAGAATTTTCACAGTTCAAGGCAAATCTTTGCCGTCATAAAAATCAAAAGCTCATATTGTGACCATGCAATTGAGGGAAAAAATCCATGTAAGAAACTGACCTGGACTGCACATATATAATGATTACTCCCAAATATAATAAAAGCTTACAGTGATCATTTTATAAACCATGCCACTTGATACAACACACCAAAAAATACAAAGGGTTATATACAGATCAGAAGTTCACTGCATCCACAAATCATTAAGCAACAACTACTTCTATAGATGAAACAAAATTAAGCAAAACTAGTAGTGATATACAGCTGCCCAGAAAGAAATACCTTAACACCACCAAAATACTAATTTGCGAGACTGTAATCCAGAGGTTGGTTTACTTGCCCTGCATACTCCACAGCGCGAAATATGGAAACTTGTATAACAAGATCCTTCAGAACCTTGATCAGCTCAAAGACACAAACATCTCCTTCCACCAAATTATTTTCCTTTGCAAACATTCTCCAACCCTTGCTTAATATTGCCTGTCGACCACCGCTATCATGAATGCAACGGACACGCCACTCTCTTCCATCAGAAACCTGAAGCTTAACAATATCTGAAACACCAAGCAAATACTTGATTTTCATGGCAAATTCTGATGGTATATTCTGCATGAGAAAGAAAAAAAGATATCATTCCAAATTCAAACTGAAAATAATACTTGACCGATGAAGCAACATAAACAGATTAAGCAATAATCTTACACCATGTAATATGAATTCAAGAGCTCACCAAGGAAAACCGATTGTTTACATTATTTGGACGCAATATAACCATATGGAAAGGATTTTCAGACTTAAACATTCTTGCAGCATTAATTGCCCCCTCTCTTGCTTGGTTTATCAATGGTCCCCCTGTCGAACAAGTCGTTGAACAAGTGTTAATACCAATAATTTCTTCACAGTACCATTCGTGTTTTACCAATTGCCCATCTGCAATTTATCAAATTAGTGACAAGAAAATCGACTGTTACATTACTTCTGGCTGAAAAAAGTAGTCTGAAAGCTTACTAGAAACAGTTCTTTGATTTGTAGTCTTTGAATATATGCTTTCATCAAACTGATGAGGTAGGTTTGGTTGCCCTGCATACTCCGCAGTGCGAAATATGGACACTTTTAGCACTAAATCCATAACCTTGATCAGCTCAAAGACACAAATATCTCCTTCCATCAAATTATTTTCCTTTACAAAGGTTCTCCAACCTTTGCATAATCTTACGACTGGCCTTCTTCTTTTATGAATATAATGGACATGCCACTCTCTTCCATCAGAAACCTGAAGCTTGACAATATCTGAAACACCAAGCAAAGACTTCATCTTCATGGCAAATTCAAGTGGTATATTCTGCATAAGAAAGAAAAAAAACGGTATCTATCATTCCAACATCAAACTTAAAATAATACTTGATATAAGGTTAATATATTGGGAGAAAATTGCTTCTACTTATAAGCAGCTGGTTGGACATCTTTACCGGCATGATCAGTGAAGCAACATAAACAGATCAAGCAAAAATCTTACACCATGTACCATGAATTCAAGGGCTCACCAGGAAAAAGTGGTGGTTTACATTATATGGACGCAATATAGCCATATGGAAAGGATTTTCAGGCTTAAACATTCTTGCAGCATTAGTTGCCCTCTCTCTTGCTTCGTTTATCACTGATCCCCCTGTCAAACGAGTTATTGAACAAGTATTAGTCCAAGCATTTCTGCACACCATTCTTGTTTTACAAAATAATTTCTGCACACCATTCTTGTTTTGCAACTTATCAAATCAGTGACAAGAAAATCAACTCTCACATCACTTCTGGCAGAAAAAAGTAGTCTGAAAGCTTACTAGAAACAATTCTTTGATTTGTGGTCTGATAACTTGTATCTCTATTTCTTTGAGTCGCGACATGTGAACTATTTGCAATTTTTGTTGGATGCTGCTCCTCTACATCAATTCTATATGTTTTGTCTTTAAGTTCACTCTCATTCAACTGATCAAAACCCCTATCACGAACTGTTGGAGCCGATGTTTGTAAATTCTGAATATTCTTAGTGACAAACTGGTTCTTTCTCTTGGATTTATCCAATAAAGAATCATGCCAGTTTGACGTTTCGCTTCTGCTTGGTTTTCTTCCACACGCTCCATGCCAATTCTCTAATTCAATTGTTTGCTCCTGATCTTTTTTATATCTTTTGGTTCTTGTTAGACATCGAGGAGTGGGTTTCGAGCTCTCCAGCAAAGCTGCACTTTTACCCTTTTTGTCAAGTCCCAGACTAATTTTAGATGAAGATCCAACAAAACCTAAGGACCCCAAAATTTCAACAGAGTCATCATCTTCGATTTCGTCCTCATCAGATAATTGACAAAATTTTCCATTATTGTTTTCTTCAGAACTACTGCGAATAGTGCATGAATACTGGATCTCGGTGGCAGTCAAATCAAATATAAGAACATCAAAGCTTGATTTCCCTTTATATTTAAAGACTAAAAAGTACCCACAACTGATTGAGTAACGTTCCATAAATTGTTGCCAACCATCACAAAACCAAAGCATCTTGTCAGCCTTCTCTAATCCCACATGTGAAACGTGGCCAGTGGGAACAGTGAGCATGGCAACAGCAGAGAGTTCATCACCATATTTCCTGACAAACTTTTTAGGGATCGTCTGCCAATATAAAAATTAAATTGGGCTCAATTGTTTAAGTGAAGCTTAAAGCGCTCGCACAACATGAATGCAGCTCCAAAAATTGTAAATATTATTATTAGAGAATTTAAATATTAAAGTTACACTGCCTTTAACAATTTAAGCTTTTTAGAGTAGATGGTTGTTAACATGGTATCAGAGCAAGTAAAGTCCTGAGTTCAAACGTAACCGTTGAAATTAGAACACATGTTGGACCAAAACAAGGCTGCGCATGAGGAGGAGGAGGCGTGTTAGAGAATTGAAATATTAGAGTTATACCCTTTCTACAACAGAAACTGTAATCGCCTCACATGACTTACATTTTCGTTGTTTCTTCACTTTGGTTTGCAGCGAAGCGACCGCAAATGGCCACATAGCTACAAAACTGCCCCAATCACATCAGCGAGGTTTCAATAAAACGAGGATGTAGTCCCATTATATTATTTAAACTACATTACTCAAAAAAATTGCACATCGTGTAATATTATAGATTCATTTATTCTGAGAGATATTCAACATATAACAGGGGCGGAGGTAGAGGGCGGCCACGCGCCGGGGGTGGGGGGACAATTGCATGCACTCCAAAATATGATCAGCAAGGACAAGAGTTTGGTCATATTTTCTAAGTCTGTCAAGAAGAGAAGGAGTATAATGAGGCTTCTGCATTTCACTAGAGGCAACCTTCCAATTCAGTATCTTCGACTGCCTTAGGTTGGTGGTTCTCTCAAGAATGGTCATTGCACTCCATTACTTGATAAGGTTAATGCTAAGATCTCTTCTTGGAACGCTTCTTCTCTCTCTTTAGCAGGCAGGGTTGAGTTAATTAGATCTGGGCTTCTGTGTATAACATTCCTGAGGGCACCAGAAAGGTCTTCAACAGCAAGGTCAAGAGGTTTTTGTGGGGTTCTCATGATGATACCAGGAAGCTCCATCTTTCAATTGGAACAAAGTAGCTCTTCCTAGATCAGAAGGAGGCTTTGGAGTTAGAAGAATTGAGGATATCAACTTCTCTGCGAAATGTAAGCTTGTTTGGTTGCTTGGTTAATTATTGGAATTATGTGGTCAAAGGAACTGACTGTTCAGTATGGAAGAGAATGATCCAGGTCATAAACTTTATGCTCCAGAATATTCACTTCGGCATTGGGAATCGCAATCATTTTAGTCTCCTGTTCAATCCAAGCAATTGCTTTTTCTGGACAAGATGCAGTGAGGTGGAAGCATGGGAAGTTCAGCTTTAAAGTTGTCTGGGATGTGTGTAGGCCTCACATGGTTTAATCTATGTTGGGGGACACACATCATAAGCCTAGAGTCTCTTCCGCTGTAGCGTTGCTTCACCATGATGTTGTTCCATTAGAAGAAGGTCTTCCTGTGATTTCCATTTGTCACAATTGTTTTAGGGCCATCTTTTAGTTCACTGTCCTCTTGCTCAGGCAGTTTGGCAGTGGTGTTGGGAGCTCTTCAAGATTTCTTTCATTCTATCACCTATGGGATTGGTTGTCTACAATTGCTACTGGGAATGCTGCGAAAGCTAAGCTATACTGCAGTCTTATGCAACCTAGGTGGGGAGAGAAACTGCAGAATTCATTGAGGCATTACAAGAGCTACAGTTCTGATTGCATTGGCTTCGATTCTTGGAGTTTCTTTTACTGACCTACTTCTATTTTAATGAGTTGATTTAGTGTCATTTGTCTGATTGATTTTTCTATTCCTTTTCCAGTCTAATGGAAGTGGTGTTTTTCATGTGCTTTCATAAAAAGGGAAAGTATGCCCTCTCTATATCCTATGTACTTCAATGCTTCATCTTTTTCTAAAACAAAAACCCATTCAGGAAAAAAAAAAAAAATGTAATATTGCAAACGAATCTAACTTGTGACACCAATAGTAATGAAAAATTTTAATTGAGCCCCCAAAATATATCAAAACACTTATTCATTTGCCCCAATAATTATGAATTTTAATGTATTATCATCATCATCAACTTTGCATTTGTCCCAAATTATAGAAATAAAATAACTTTATCCTCTCAAACCTCATAAATTTTTTCAATTTCGACCATTTTAGCCTACTTTAAAAGCTCAAATATTGTTTGATAATTTTTTTTTTTCTTAATTTTTTTTTATCAACGTAATAATGACATTTTCCTCAAAATGAAATCAAAGTAATCAAATTAATTTTTTTTGGAAAATTGAATTTTTAAAATTTTAAAACAATTGTTGAATAAAATCTAATTCTTAAACAATGTTTTTTCTTCACCTCATTTTTTTACAATTAACTTATTCCTTCCTCTTCTCTAATTTTTTTTTTTTTTTAAATCCTGAATTATAATTTCTCAATGGATAATTCTCCACAGACTAAAATTTCTGGATCCACCCAGCAACTAAACCTATAAAGAAGATCCATATAAAAAGCCCACATTTTTGTGTTTAGTTTCTCAGAAAAGGTAGGAAAAGAAAGGAAAAATATAGAATTTTTTAACCTTGTGTTCCTTTGAGAGAATTGCAAGGGAAAATCTTCATTCACATTTGGCTTAGGTTCGTTCAGCTTCACCTCCTTGGGGAAGCAAAAAGGTCCAAACAAGCACAATAAAAATCCGTAAAATGCCAAAAAAAAAAAAAAAAAAACAGAGCTTTTCTTTACTTCTCATTTATTTTCTAGGGAACCAAACGCAGACTTATAAGGATTTTCAGCGGAACAAAACATAAAATAATGGAATATATTTATCAAGAGAGAGAGAAAGAGGGATCATATATTACCAGCTTCTTCTCATTAATAACGGAGGGTAATATTATCTTGAAGAATTTTGACGATGCCCTCACCGGAGATTTTGAGCGGCGGCAATCGCTTCCGTTGGGTTTCACTTTCCGCTTCCGCTTGTGTGGTTCCATTACTGTACCTGTACCGAATTACCGATATGGTGATGTATATCAACTGGGTTCTCACAAATAGAACAAAAGATTCACACTTCAGGTACATGTATAGATATTCCATATGAATTGCTTACCTCTTTATCCTTTCATTTTTCATTGCACTGTTACTCCTTGCACACAATTATAATCTACCAGTACTTTCATGATTAAATAACCCTGGGAAATGACATTCACGTTACGACAAATCTTTCTAAGATTCCATGTTTTTTTTTTAAAATGCCCAGACTACCCTTTTTCTTGTTTCTTCAAGTATACTGTATGTGTTATTTGCGAGTTGTTCGAGATGAAATGGTTGTGGAAAGAATACAGTATTAATCTATAAAGCGGGTGAAATGATTTTACTTACCCTTTTATTTGATTTGTTACTTAATATAATTTTTTAATCAAACAAAATTGAATGAAGTTTTTTTTTTTTTTTTTTTTTTTTTTTTTTTTTTTTTTTTTTAGGGTTTAGTGTTATAAAAAAAAAAGAAGGTAAATTACAATTACCTCTCCTAAATTTTAGATATTTTTTTTTAGGGTTTAGAGTTATAAAAAAAAAAAAAGGTAAATTACAATTACCTCTCCTAAATTTTAGATAAATGTCATGCAAATAAAGTATTCCAACTTTAATATTTTGATTTCCTAAAAAATGTGAAATGTCTTTCATTCTCTTATCTAATTTAATAATAGTTTAATAAAAAATATGTCAAACCAAAAACTCTATTATCCTTTTTTTTTTTTTTCTCTATCTTTTAAAGATTATCATACCCTAATTATAAAAAAAATATTTTTTGAAAAAAATAAAGAAACCTAATCAAACCCTACAAAGTAACCTAATAAAATATCATTAACAATATATATATATATATATATATATATATATATAATATTTTTCTGTAAATTTTACTAATAAAATTGGTAAGAAAATTGATACTTTATGTGATATTGTTGCCCGAAATTGGCATTGGGTTGCATGCGACCTACTTATAACCCGTTGGATGAGCTTTGTGTGGGCCTTAGCCCACCAAAAGCCCACATTAAGCTCTGGGGATACAAGGAAAGTTAGGGTAGAAGCAAGCGGGTTTTGGTAAAATTTTTGACCCGGTTTTTTGTTAATGGGTCATGGAGCCTAATTAGTCACTTGTAACCCAATATATAAGAGTATTTAGGGTTTGGAGTGGTGTAAGAGAAAAATTCTGAAATTCGTACAGAAACAAAGTGATGGCCCAAAACTTGTAATCTTTGATTTTACACATAATGAAGACTTTCGCCAGATCTCCACCATGGACGTAGGTTGTTGTCTAAATCCCAATAATTTTGTTGTTGCCACCATTTATAGTGATATATTTAAATTGGCTTTTAAAAAATCAAGTGATCAATCTTACACTTATTTAGATAAGAACTTGTACCCTGATGTTTATTTTTATAAAGGCCAGCTATACGCTTTGTTATTCAGTTTAATTCCTTTAAAATATAAATCGTTGAAATCCCAGAGTTAACCGATTGACCATAGTACAAGGTTCGTGGTGAAGCCAAAGCCCTAAGACTTCTTCTCTCTCTGATCTCTTTAATTTAAATTTAGTTAAATTTTATTTTATGTTCGTGACAACCAATCAATCAAATCCAATTAGTTACCTGTAAAACAAAAAGAATTAGATTAGTTAAAAACAAAACAATTAACACTCAACTCCTTGTGAGATCGACACCCTCTATATAGTCCTATCCTATAAAGATTCGTATTATTGCGAGTGGTAACATTGAGCACACATCATTTGTCTTTCGACACCTTTAAAGAACTAGAGATAGATTTTTTAGGCATGAATCGAATGAGGACCCAAAGATAGAGAAGTCATCTATGAAAACTTCTAAATACTTTTCCACCATGTCCGAGAATATTGACATCATACACCTTTGGAATGTGGCGGGAGCATTGCACAAACCAAAATGCATCATTCGGTAAGCAAATGTACTAAATGGACATGTGAAAGTAGTTTTTTCTTGGTCAGGCGAGTCTAGGGCCACTTGATTATAACCCGAGTAACCATCTAGGAAGCAATAATAACTTTGCTCGGCCAATCTTTCTAAAATTTGATCAATAAAGGGCAAAGGGAAATGATCATTCCTAGTGGCAGAATTGAGTTTGCGATAGTCAATGCACACACGCCATGAAGTGGCGGTGCGTTTAGAAATTTGCTCACCCTTCGCATACTAAACGACCGTAATTCCCGACTTTTTGGGAACAACTTGGGTTGGACTCACCCATTTGTTATCGGAAATAAGATATATGATCCCGGCATCTAATAGCTTTACCACTTCCTTTTTGACCACTTCTTTCATATTCGGGTTCAACCTCATTTGAGCGTTGTAATACCCCTAATTTTAAAAGGATAGTCTCGGTATTTAATTTATTATTTTATTACATTTTTAATTGATTAAATAATTTATTTGATTACGTGGCTATTTGTTTATGTGATTTTAATTGAATTATTTGTCTAAATTAATTTATGTGCTTAAATGTCATTTTAATTAATTATTGGTATGAATTGATTTGTTTAAATGCTGAGTGATTATGTGTATTTATTTATTTGCATGCTATGTGTTTATTTGTACTTAAATTGTTTGTTTTATTTTATTTTAAAAGGAGTTGGATATGAATAGTAGTAATAGACCAACCATTTGGGTTCCATGGACTACTTGAATAGGAGGTTTAATAGGTATGGATATTTACCCATAAATAATTATACTTATATATTTATGATAATATATATATATATATATATAGTTTTAATAATTACTATATATATATATATATATATATATATATATATATATATATATATATATCTATATAGTTTTAATAATTACTATTGTTATTATTATTTTTATTAAAAGTTAGAATTATATGTATTGTTATTATTATTTTTATGGAAAGTTAGAATTATATTTATTGTTATTATTATTTTTATGGAAAGTTAGAATTATATGTATTATAATTAAATATATTATATACATATATGTAACAGATTTGGTATATTTATATTTATATTTTCCTTTTTTCTTTATTTTAATTAAGGAAAGTTTGATTGAAAATAGGATTTTATATTTTATAAGTTGGAATGGGAATATGATTTTATAGTTATCTATATATATATGTGTATTGGGGGTTTGTAAAAATGTTAGAAAACTCTATTCACGTACGAAATATTAGAGAGAGTTTTGGAAAGAGAAAGAAAAAGGTTTTAGCAAAGAAGAGGGCTAAAATAAGGAAGAATGAGGCTTAGGTTTTCAATTTGAAAATCATAAGGCAAGTTCTTTTCTAACTCTTCTCCTTTGATTCGTGTTCTATACATGTCTAGATTAATTTTAGGATTTTTAAATTTAATTAATAAACCTAATTACATGTAAATATCAGATTTATAAAGTATGATTAGATGTTAATGGGTTTGTGCAATTTTACATGATCTAATAAATTGATGCATGAATTGTACTCTACAATGTTGAGATCATATTTATATACTGTATTGTCGTTGTTGGGACATCCTAGGATGTTGAATTGAAGCTTTGAATTTGTTTTCACATGTTTTAAATTGTTTAATTAGATTCATGGAGGATTTAAATGCATGATTTAAAGTTTATATGCTAGGTATGAAATTTAATTAATTTAAAAGATTAAATTAATGGTTGAATGTGGTTGGATTAAATTATTTTGATCAATTGTTTAGATTTAAATGAATTTTAACAGAGCATGGAGGTGTATAATTTAATTGAGATGCATGTTAATTTCTTATAATATAAATTAAATGCATGCTACTTATAATTGTTATTTTTGCTCAATTAAATACAAAGGATGTATATATGATTTATATCATGTTTATTTTGGATTATTAGATGTAAATATTATTTGCATTATCTTTGGATTGGAAACCTTTATTTGGTTATGTTATGGATTAATGCACCATTATGGGATGGAGGCATATTAGGAACAGATTAACTTATAAGTTAAGTCCTACCTATTTATACTTATAAGGGAACGGATTAACCCTAGAGTTAAGTCTTACTTATTCGTGTCAGGTCAACAGAACAGTTAGATGACATACCGTTGAAATATATGGATGAATAATTTACTTTTATGGTTAGATATGACAGATTATATATATATAATTATATGTCATGATATGAGCTTGAGCCTCAGGATCAGTGGTTAGGGTGCATATATTGTCAGGGATGTGTAGCTAGATATAGTGAATTGTGTGCCTTGGTAGGTTTAGGTACTTATGCCCACTATATGTGAGTTTTGCATGTTGCCTACTATTCAGGTTGAGCCAACCCTATATAGTCTAGTGAGGTTCCTTAGTGTGTATATATATATACGGACTATATTAGTTATTATTGAGTAACTAGGATGTATACGTGTATCGGATCTCTATTTGGGATATAGTAGATTAAAACTTGTTTGTGGGCTTGACTCACCATTATTTTTCAGGTGTTCATCAATTCCAGACTTAGACATTATTCGTGCTGAGCAAAGACAATCTATTCACTCTTTCGACTCTACGTAGGATTTCTTTTTTATGTTTTAGTATTTGGATTCTGTTTTATTTCAGTTTTAGTTGGGTTTTGGATAAGGGAACCACATGATGTATTCCCGAGTTATAATCTATAAGGTTACTGGTACCACAGGATTTAGATATGTTTGGAGAATTATTTTTTTGGATTTATTAATGGAGGATTTTATGATTTAGTTTCTTTCAGCTTCTTTATTTATTCTTATTTCATTTTATATTCTATGTTTGTTTATTATTAATTATTTGATATCCTTCGGTTCTGTGCTCGTACTTGATCACCCGTGGCTATAGAATCGAAGGGTATCATAAGCGTCCCTAAAAGGCTTTTCATTTTCTTTCGTATGAATGCGATGCAAACACACGGAAGGATCAATGCCCTACAAGTTGGCGACACTCCATCCAATGGCTTCTTTATTCTCTTTAAGCACTTCCAAAATATCATTCTCTTGGTCATCTTCAAGATTTGAAGTAATGATGATCGGAAGAGTTTCTTTAGGGCCTAAGAAGGCGTACTTGAGATTAGATGGGAGTGGCTTAAGCTCGAGAGTAGGTGAAGAAATTAGTGAAGGAACCGGTGGAGTACTAGAGAGTGGAAGAAGAGGTTCTTTT